AGCCAGAGCTTGTTTCGCTGCGAGATGTAAGCCCGATCCCCGTGATCCAGACTGCCTGAGTGTCATCACAGGGCTTTCCGTTTCCCTCGCGGCGCCGTGTGGCAACCCGACCCAACTCCGATGCTTTGAAAAAAGAAGAAAAAAAAGAAGAAAAAAAAGGACGAGTGACAAAGAAGAAGGAGAAGACACAGCATCCAGAACCTCGTGACAGGAGGCCCGAAACCCGAGTCGAACGGGTTTGTTTTAGTTTTACAAAAAGTAGTCCGCGACCGGCTTCTTCGCGGGCATACCGCGCGAATCCTGGGGTGCGGCCTGAAAGACGCGATACCGCCGCGCCGGGCCGTTCCTCGGCATGGCCTCGAGATCCTGCATGGCGCTCTTGGCGCCTAGCGCGGCGGCACCGCCGGTGCTGCGGTTGACGTCGCCGTTGCTGCGGGCGAAGAAGCCGGCGCCGGACTGGTCCTCGCACAGCTCGAGGAGGGCGGCGACGTTGCCGCAGCGGTAGCAGTAGTTGGGGGCGGACCAGACGGTGACGATGCTCGAGTCGAACATCTCCTTGAAGCCTTCCATGACGAGCTGGTGGGCGCGGGCAATGAGGGAAATGTCGTTGCGGTGGTTGAAGACTTTGACAATATCAGCGCCAAACAGGAAACCGGCACCGCGGGGCGAGAGACCCCAGCCGTCAATGTCGTCGGGGTCGGACCACAGCAGGTCGCACATGGCGCCCTCGTGGGGCACCTCCTGTTTCCTGTCGAGCAGGCGGATCTTATCGACGCTGTCGACGAGGGGGCTGAGACCGCCGTGGACGCAGAGGACGGCGCCGCTGGGGTTGCCGACGCTGCCGCCGCTGCTCCCCGAGGCGCCGCTGCCGGGGGGCCCCGTCTTGTCGCCGGCCTGGGGGGCGTTGGGGTCGGGCTCTCGCTCGGGCGTCGGCAGGCGGCCTGTGACCCTGTGGAACCTGCTGATGAGGTTGCCCGTCTGGTCGCACACCTCGATCTCGATCTGTTCGTCGATGGGCTTCTGTCCAGGGCTCGGCGAGAGCTGCTGGGAGGTGCCGAGGACGATGGCGCCGAGAGCGAGGTAGTCAAAGACGTCACAGCAGTAGCGCCAGACGTTGGCGGAGCCGTATTTTCGCATGCACTCGTCGTAAAAGCCGTAGACTGTTGTTATTTGTCGGGACTCGTGGTTGCCCCGGATCAGCGTCATTCGGTCGGGGTAGCGGACCTTGAGGCAGAGGAGGAGGAGGAAGGATTCGAGAGAGTAGAAGCCGCGGTCGACAAAGTCGCCTGGGCGTGTCAGCGTTTGGCAAGTAGAGTGCTGAGCAGAGCAGCAAGTGCAGGGGACTGACCCATGAAGAGATAATTCGTGTCGGGCACGTCGCCGCCGCCGTGGAAGAGCTCCATCAGGTCGTGGAACTGGCCGTGGATGTCTCGCAGATCTGGGAGGATTAGGAAAAAAAGGTCCCCTCGTCAAGAAGCACAAAAGAAAAACAGGGGGGAAAAGCCGCCCACAGGCTGCCGCTGTGCATACCGTAACAGGCGCCGTGACGGTGACGACGTTGCCCTCTTCGATCAGGAGCTCGCGCGCCTTGTGGCAGAGCTGGCGGACCTCGGCCTCGGGGATCGGCCGACACGCGCGCAGTTGCGCGATGGCCCTGCAAGTGCACTCGGTCAGCGGTCAGCGGGTTGTGATGCGACAGCGCCGGCCGTGGAGAGCCGATAAAGGGCAAAGAAGCATGCGTACCGGTCAAGGTCGCTCATGGTGGGGAGGGGCTGGAGAGCCTCGGTTTGGCGATGGAGGTTTTGCGGCGATGATGTCAATCTGGGTAGGTTGAGAAACGGTTGACGGGCGAATAATGTGTGGAAAGTCTGCAGCAGGGCTGGCTATGTGCTGTCGTGCTACCAAGCCAGATGGCGACGTGCGATAGAAGCTATTGATGGGGGGTTTGGCAGGAATATCCGTCGTTTGTCGCGTGTTCGCCAAAAAATCGGAGAGTAGCTGGCTGGGATGGAGCAGCCGCGGAAAGGCCTCTGCTGGCTCGGTCAGCCTTCACGACCGACGCCAGCGAGGCTACAGGGCATTTAGCGCAGCGCGAGCCCTGGAGCGCACTGGGGGATGCTGTGCGGCGCAGGTCCCAGCAGGCGCCCGGAGCAAGCGCACGTCCCAAAACAAGCGCACGTCTAAAGCAAGCGCACGTCGGAGCCTCGCACATACATACATGTACAGTCAAACTCCGAGGTACGTACCTGTGTCTCCAGGAAAGATCCACCCCCCAACCACAGCCAATCGGGCGCTGCATTGATGCGATGACTTGTGACTCCACTTTTACAGCAGCCACGGAGCCAGTGAACATCACGCATCGCCCAAAGCCGGTTGTCGTCCATACATATTCGCACGACAAATTTAGCTGCTTCGGTCTTTCCTCAACGCCGGCAACCCGTGTCTTCAACAGCCTCGCCATACCCTCCCGACGCCCCATCCACCCCTCACTCTGGCTGGCATGCCGTGGCCATAGGTGAGGCGCCATCGATTGATCCATTGGCATCGCAGAGAACGTTTCATTGACCTCGCCAGCGACGGCGAGACACGACCCTCCTACACTCGACTCCCGACACGCCACCACGACGACACATCCACACGACACACACACACACACACATCATGCCACCACACCTGCATCCCAGGTCACGAATGACCTCCTCCCTCTTCGCCACCACCGTCGTCGCCAGCTTCTTCGTCGTCGGCCTACCTCACATCCTGCCGTGCCCGGCACCACGCGTCGCCTACGCCGATGGCGAGGTCGTTGTCGGCGAGGACGGCAAGAGGAGGCGGCGCCGTCGCCGCGACAATTCGCCCGAGATCAAGGACGGCATCGTCCACTTTGACCAGACCCCCGACGCCGCCGCCGCCGTGAGCTGCTCCAAGGACGACAGGGCGAGTCGAGAGTGTCCCGTGCCCAGGCCAGGGGGCATGCTGGGCGAGTGGCTAGGCTTTCACGCAGAGAAGAAGGTCGACGAGAGGACAAATTGAACAACAATAAAAATGAAATCGGCAATTGGCAAATGGCAAAAGGTGCACTCAAGATGAAAGCAAGAAAAAGTGTGGCTCCTGTCGTCTGAAAATCGAGCTGCCGTCACAAAGTGCCATCCCAATCGCCCACGCCCTTCGTTTATTTTTTCCCCCCTTCGTCCCCTTCCACCATCATGTCACGGCATGCGTCCAATTGCCCACAGGACAGTGGAACACGTTTCAAGAATCCCCCCTGGCGAGCCCAAGTTTCTCTTTTTGCCATTCCGGACGATCGTGGTCGATGACACGTCGGAGTGCCCCCTGTATGGGGCGACAGGGGGGGCGTCAGGGTTCATCAAGTAAGCATATCGTCGATCGTCCGTCACAACGCCCGACATCGCAGCAGGACACGACTGAGCACTTCGTCGAAGACATGCATCTGATGCTGCAGGTGCGGAGCTTGCCGATGGCTGTTCCTCTGCGGAATCTGGCATGGCATGGGCCTGGGCAGCTTGTTCTGCTGCTTTGCCGATGCCCTTGCCAACAGGCAAGCAGGCGAAACGATCCTCCTGATGAAACCGGCAGCCCAAGCCCTCCTTGGAGTCGCGTTGGCGATACCCGGTCGATGACCGAACCAGGTCCTCTCGAGGGCGGAAGGGCGGGGGATGCTGCGCGAACGGGTTGCGTGCCTGGGTAGACAGGCTCAAGAGTACGGCAGTTTGGTCTTTGTCAAGTCTAGCAGTGTGACGAAAATAGTGTAACGAATACGAGATGTAGGTATATAAGAACGTGGTCTGCCTCACTTTCCATGCTCTCTTCTCCTTCTACAACTGCAGGACTGTGTCTCTCTCTTCAACTTCTTTCTCTTCCATCACACCAGAGGTTCGTTTTGTTTTTCTTGACTCCCAAAGACAACAGCGTGGGAAAAGACAAACTTGCTAACCGTGACAGCTGTGCTCTTTTTCCGTCTCTCCCTCTACCTCCATTTTTTTGTTTTCTTTCCTCAAACCATCCACTCCTTCAAACCAAGCCAAAGGTATGTGACTATAACCCCCCAGGTTCGCGATATTCACACAGAGCCTGACAAGTCCCAGCTCCACTCATTCCAACCACCCACCATGAAGTCCTGGACCATCGTTCTCGTCGCCACTGGCCTGGCGTCAGCCCTCAGCATCCCCCGCCCCATCGACGCCCGTGCCGACTTTCCATCGCCATCCAGTAGGCCGGAGTCGCG